CTTGTACAAGTTATGTAATCATAATTGAATTCACAATAAAGGCAGTAGCCACTATAACTAAAAGGCCTTAGCGTAAGCAAAAAAAAAAAAAAAATAAGGTAGTTTTATTATTTAAGCTATACTACTGAAACTACTATCTCTATTAACTATTTAATATTGACTTTGTTGTCTAAGTTAAGCTGAATCTTAATTCAAATTCCATAATCCATTTTGGTTTAGCTTGCATCTAACAATATTTATTGTTACTTTTTTTTTAATTTAAATGTTTTTATTTGGCACTAGTTTTGTAGAAAAAATCTATTCTTTTCAGCAACAGTTAGTGATTGAGCAGAACATGAAATGATTTGTCATTATATCAATTATAAAGTCTTGTTTTATATTATATTAATCTTGTCAATAACTATTTTTAAAACTTATAGAATCAACACTTAACCTTAGTAAGATTCAGAATACAACCATTGTTGCTAATAATAGAATCAAAGCCCATAAATTGAATGGCAACAGTAAAAAGGCTAAAAAGAAAAAACAAGCTAATCACAACAATGAAATTAATTTAGCTTTTGATATTAATAGTGAAATGCCTAAAATTCAAGATACAACTACTGCTGCTAAGAATAGTAATAGATCAAGAACCTGTAAACTAAACATTAATTATAGGTCTAAAAAAGACAAACAAGTTAATTATAATGAAACTAATTCAGCTATTGATGTTAATAGAAAGATGTTCAAAATTTAATCAAATAACAATAGTAGATCTAAAAAAGAAAAATAAGTTAATCACAGTAAAATTAATTTAGTCATTAATGTTGATAGTAAAATATCTGAAATTCAAGATACAACTACTTCTAATAGTAGTTCTAAAAAAGAAAATTAAGTTGATTACAATAAAATTAATCCAGCCACCGATGTCGATAGTAAGATGTCTGAAATTCAAGATACAACTACTTCTAATGCTAATAGTAAAACTAAACTAAATAACAATAAAAGATTTAAAAAAGGAAAACAAGTTTATCATAATGAAGTTATTAATGTTAATAGTAAAATGTTCAAAATTCAAGATACAACTACTTCTAATACTAATAGTAAAACTAACTTGAATGACAATAAAAAATCTAAAAAAGGAAAATGAGTTGATCACAATGAAGCTATTGATGTCAATAGTAAGATGTCTGAAAATCAAGATACAACCACTTCTGCTAATAATAGTGATAGGACAAAATTCTATAAACTAAGTGACTATAGTAACAAGGCTAAAAAAGATAACCAAGTTAATTACAATGAAATTAATCTGGAAAAAATACTGTTAGGTTTTCTTATAATTACTTTTCTTTGTATAATATTTACCAAATTTTTTTTATGATTAAAATAAATTCATTATTAGCATCTAGCAGAACAAATATTAAAGGTTTAAAAAAACTTGACAAACATCCATGCAGTAAGGTCTAAATTTTAAATGAACACAATCATGCATATAGTTAATTAATTATATAATTGTGATATAAAGTACTATAGGTATTATAGTAAAAGTGAGTTAATATGATAAACCATTATTGGGTAAAATAAATAGCTATGCAATGCTGTTGCACTAAAACCAGGAATAAAAATTATTTAATTATTACATTTAATCAGAATTAAGGCTTTGTATATGAAAAAAAAGCTTGAATATATATTTCAATTTACTATGTTTTTAGGATTTGATTTTGGCATTCAATATACTATGTTCTTAGTATTCAATTAACTATATACCTGAATTTGATCTACTGCATTCCTGGTTTTAATCTATTATGTTACTAGTATTCACTACATTCCTAATCTTATTGGATTACAAGATATCAATTTATTATGTTAACCTGCCTTAACTACAATACCTATGTACTTTCATATTATCATATTAACTAACAGAAAACAACACATCCATAGCTTATTCAAGACATTCTAGTCACAAGCACAAAGCAACATTATAATTATATAATTACTGGCTTTTCTAAAAAAAACTTTATTTAACTATAAGTTGAAGAGTAAAAGTAAGAGGCAAAATAGCCAAAAGCTTTTTTTTTTAATGTTAATGATAAGGCCATGCCTCTATCTTTATTAAATATTTAATTGAGATTTTACATAAAGTACAATTTGCTTTTAAAATATTATAGAAAGAATAAAAGCTTAGACTAATTTATCTGTGACCTAAACCAACCAAAGTGGCCAAGACTCATCTAGATTTGAGTGTTAGTAATTATGTATAGGAGATTAGTTGATATTTAATCCATTGGATATACCAAGAGTTTATTTTTAACCTAATAGAATTGAGTGAAAGAGAATGTGATGAAA